GAAAACAAATGTATGTAAAACGGAAAACAAAAGCAGTGCTACTATGGAGTTTCAACAATTAGGAAAAGTGACAACAAACTGCTTGACGCTGGCCGACAAAAAAAACGAACAATGGTCGAAACATTAACGTATGGTATACGGTTACACTATGACTGTATGGGATACCGTCAAAACAACTCTGAAGCCATCTTCGCAGGTGAACACTGAAGATAACAAGGCCACCAGCCAAGTCGCACGTAATTCGTAGAAGTATATGTGACCGTTGCCACTGCCGCAGGACTATATGATTATTGCTTCGCTGACGACATTTGTACCACCTATATGCAACAAACTATATAGCAGTGGCATGGCCCAAAACCAAGATAGACTCGAACAGAACAAATGAATACAATTAATCACGCATGACCGACCCATGCGATACGGAAAATCCGAGAGTAACGGACTGAAAAATTGGTAATGGTTGAACAACAGGCATATATATACATATACATCTATATATCCATAGGGGACTGGTATCAAGTAAACAAACAGAATCAGCCTATTTTACAATCAGCCTCATAATTCGGACATTTTTTTAAAGATCCTTGAACAAATGATAGTGTATATGTTAAAAAAGGAACAAACACCTTGATCGTAAGAACAGTCTCGTACTACGGAATTCTCAAGACAACAACCAGATATATACCTGTTACGTGCTTCTTCCACTCTGGCATGTCATACTTCTTTTCACCAGGAAGGATTTTGGAATACTTGTTGTCAAGATCTGCCAGAGGATCAAGGTATGGCTTGCTGATGCTACTGGGCATAACCGAATCCTCTTTCTCACGCTGCTGCTGGATCTTCTGCTCACGACGTTCCTTCACCAAAGCGCCCTGCATCATCGCCGCCTGTGCGAGCGAACCGTCTGGATTCTTCACGACTTTGATCGGTTCCAGGTCCTGGTGTGACCGTCCGTAGCCTTGAAGGAATGGCGGCTCGTCTTCTACCAACTCGATCTCTATATCTTCATCGTCATCTTCTTCTTCATGAAGGACGCCGGTCTCCTCATCGAAATCAGGCAACTCGGCGTTTGATATGCAGTTAGCTGCGATCATTTGCTAAAACAACCGCAATTCATAGATTTTATATGGAAAATGTAACGGAGAAGCAACAATTAACCCTTGTAGATTTTACGCTACGACTGAAAACTCATATGCAAGGTTCATTAGATAGCTGCAACACCAACATTTCTATCTTGATTAAAATGATACGTTCATTATTTCGTAAGACAAATTGTGACGCAATATGTGTATCAACGTCATAACAAAATTACATTTTACTTTTCCTATGCAATCTAATATTACACATATCAAGACTTCAGCAGTTTTATCATAACAAACAAAAAATATTAACCGCCTTATAGCTGATGGTTCAACGGCTACATGTTCTTTGCATTCAGTAACAGCAATACCATTAAAGAGCTTCTACGTTATCTTAAGAACTTAAATCCAAAAAGGATGGTCTAATCCACATGTGAAAAAGAGACAAGTAGAAAAATATATTTTATCGACGTGAATGTCGATCTACTTAAGTGGCTACGAGAGTTGCTGCGTATTTAACAAAATGAACAACTTTCGAATAGATCTTTTCATCAGAGGTCACCAGATACCTCTCATTTCCAGTTAAAAAATCACTTCATCAACAAGCGCTGGAGAACTAAAGTCTAACGAAAAATTAATTCAATCTTATATCTCATTTAGAAGAAAGTATCACATGTTTAATCATAACCAAAAATGTACATCCTCTTAGCGTACTTCATTAATCCAGTTTGCATTATTCGCTTTCCAGTCGATAGTAAACATTTACAACAGGATGCCTCCTACATCCTAGCCTGATCTATTCTTGAAACATACTTCACAAGGCAAGACTTGAAAACATA